TGTTGCAGTTTTTAAAACTAATTTTTATTTCTTATTTATACTTTAGCATCAAGTCGATCAAATGTTAACCTGGTAGCATTCAGTTGGCATCCATCAAATGTAAACAGTTTACTAACTTTGAATCGTGATGGCTGTTTAAATGTAGTTGAACTTGTCGAACGTCCAGCCATTGTAAGTGTTTTGTCATTTAGACAAATATCTATCAGTAATTTCTATACTTTATTGTATTCTAAATCATAAATCTGTTATTAAAACATATACCTTGCACGAATAACATTTACTTTGTGTTTTGTATATTCATGACATATTACCCATTAATGAGGCTTAACAATCAAAACCTAATTAATTGGAGGGTGATTGTGACTAGCAATTTATGTTTATATTGTACATGCTATTTGATTAGAGAAAAGTATTCTTTTGACTGATAAACTTGTTTTTCATTTCGAATAATTCAGGACTGTAAGTCGAATTGATCACATGTATAGATCGCTATCACTCTTTCACACATCGCGTCAGTGATACATCAGCCTATCCAATCTGTCAACATTCTACTCATCGATTTTGACAATGAGAAGTTCGTTCAGTAAAACTACATTAAAATAATGGTTTAGATTTGCAATAACATTAATACTTATTTTGACCGTTTATATTCAGAAGTGGTGGCCAAGTGAGAAGGCCATCAAAACATGTCCTAAAAGATGAATACATATCATTGGTCAAGAAATGGCCTCTTTTTCTAATGAGGCGGAATATATATATGTTTTCACTAGTCACTGTACATAATATTTGGTAGCTAAGTAGACTTTCTCTTCTTCTCTTACCTTCTCACTCAAATAGCCTGTTTGGACAGATAGCACCTTTCTCAATCAGATCTCGGGGACACCGTGCTTCATAATAACTAAGCTTTTAATTTTATTTCATTCATTTTCAATACTTACTGTCATTTCATTCATATTGTTTTACTTTTTTTTCGCGTATAGGGATGGTCAGCTAATCAAACATTAGTTTGGTCATATACTCGTAATTGGACCGCTTTCGGTTTAACAGGAATTGTTAGTAGTAATCTGGATGCACTAGTGGAATTCTTACATACAGTTGATAAAAATAATCAATCAGCACCTGTTAATGACGTTACCACCACGTACAGTCTCCCAAATGCACAAAATCTTGTAAAATGTCAGAATACAAAAAACAAGGATGATCAGTGTGATAACAATCACTGTCATTATGAAAAACAAACAGCACTTCTTGTTGAATTGAAGCGCTGCATGGAGTTGGACATCGCAGTTATTATGCGAAAACGTGCTGAACTGGGTTATGGACTCGATGTGAGTTTTGTTTATTTTCGAAAATGTTTTGTCTTTAAATGTTTCCTTTTTCTTTTCCGTACTTATTATATTAATTGTTTAACACTTCTGAGCTTAAATCTTTAAAAACTGGCGGCATGTGTTTGAGAATTCGAGAACAGAAGATGAGGATTAATAATGCAAATGAAAGAAATATTAAGTCCGATTTTGAACAAGGTGATATTCAGTCAATTAAAACGTAGAACTTCGTACGTACGTACATAAGTTCATGTTGCTTTTAGTTGTATAACAGCATTATTTGGCTGCCCGCACCATGGAAGGATACTTCGTCACTAGGTACCTGAAAAGGATATGGAGAATGTTGGTATTTGAAGAGCATAATTACTGAGACTGAGGAGCCACTGCCAGTGACCGGCCATATATGACCTTCTTGTCAGTTTCTTTTAACTGTATTAGTTCCGTAATTTTAAGACCTATCCAAAATCAGTGGGGTAAATTAAAGTTTGCTATTTCCAGGGCCGCTATTCTTAAAATACTGTCTTCTCTTTTTAAGAAGGTAGCATCACTGCAGATGCTAGTTATCCAATGGAAACGCGTACTGTCGCCACATCCCAATACAGTATACAGTTCGACTTTGCCCTCGAACAATAATTTTGCTGCTTTTGGTTTCGCTGCACACTTGGAAATTATTCCACACCAACAATATCCAACTTTTTTTGCATCTCAACAACGCAGCAACTTGAAACCGATGATTATTACGTTAGTTTTAAGTGAACGGAGTTCAACATAAGCGTTGAAAACTTTTCACGCTTAAAGGTGATTAGATTAGTGATAATATTCCAATGTTGTTTGTAATTGATGGTGAGGTATTCATGCTCATCCCATCAAGTGGATAGAAATGAGCGTTTGAATTTTTCATTCTACTTCTTACTGACTGAACTGATATCATAATTGACGGTTTGAAGATGAACACTAGAGTAACCTCACAGAACCGTAATCGAACTAAAGTCAAAATATACTTCTTAATAAATCGCAACTTGTTATTCCAAGTATAATAAAGGGAGTAAAATACCGTTTTTACCTTTCATGACTTTATGCATGATTACACGTTTTTGGATTCATTTTATTTTACAGATTAAAGGTACTACTTATGTTGAGATTGTCAAAGACGATGTACAACTTCGAACAATGTGGACATGGATTAAATGTAAGCTTAGTTTGGCTTATCATTGAATTTTTTGCAGTAAGAATGTTTTTATTTAATTCATGAAGTATTTATAAAGTATAGTTCACTCTTACATGACTAATAAACTTTTATGAATTGTCTATAGTTTTTCAACGATATAACTATGATCTACGTTTAGTCAATTTTACTGTACTATTTGTATACAAATTGTATATGCATTAGCAACCAAACGACGAGTCTACTGCGCTGCAGTTCGCTTGGTCTTACCATACGTCTGTTAAACCTGGCAACTAGAAATAGAGGATATTCGTAGGGTACTAGAATTAGATCATCAGTGTCTTTGAAGCATTGCTCGTATATCCTGGAATCATCAAGTAAGAATACCAGGTTTAGGAAAAGGGTATTAGGTAAGGATGGCAGATCGATAGATGCAGTAATGAATCTTTATCAGTTGAGGTCGTTGAAACATACGTTATGTATGCCTAACCAGCGATTATGCAGTCGAACCTAATACGTATATACATTAATTCAAAACACCATACTGGTCGGCGGCCTATGCTCCATTGAGGGGTAACAGGCGTAAGTAATACCATATTAGCACAGTGAGATGAAATGGTCACGCCAGATCACAAAGTAGTAAAGGTAAAGACAGTATCATTGGATGGGGGAGGGTCGCAAATACGATTCACGAAAATAAAAACCAATAAGATTAAAAATACAATCAAAAAGAGTTATGAACAATTTAAAAGCTTAGAATTTGAGGTAAGGCAGAGAATGCACGCAAATGCGCTACTGCAAACGGTTTTAAGCCTTACCATTTCAAGTTCCTAACCACTAGTTACGATAATCACGCTCATACTAACCAAGTAGTCTACATCTATTAACATGGCTCAGTTCAATGATCAATGACTTCATGGACTGGAGGTAGTCGGATTTCGGGCATACGTAACACATATGTGAACCAACTTAGTCGATGAAGATTCACAACCCGATCGATTGGTTAATCTTACCTACCTACTGTTCTTCGTTCAACCGCAGAATCGCTAAGCTGATAGTGTCAAAAAATATACTCAGCATCAGTGCAACTCCTTGTGGTCGGAGTACAGTAGCACCTTTTTTGAAGCTAATCTTTTCTGTACGATCTGAGTCCATTGTGTTGAACTTATTCCAACTACCACTAGGTTGCATCTTTTCATTTCCACAGCAACTTGAATAGTTCTTCTGGTCTCCACATTGTGCGAACATTATATATACCTATATTAGTGGTTGTTCTAGTTGTGAGAAGGGGCATCAGCCCTCCTGACTTCCGAAGAAACTCAGCTTTAACCACGAGACATCATAGCTCTCTTAAATAATGACTTTCCAACTTCCAGTGCAAAGTCTAAATAATTAAAATAACTTTTTTTGGTTTGAGTTCTATTAGCAAGTTTTTTTTTCATGGAGTAGCATTGCTAAATCCTTATCCAACCTTCCTCTATACGGGCCTGGGGCCTACAACAAACCTAGAAGGGCTCGGTGCGGGGTTATTCTGTTTCATTAAGATAGGGATGTTAAGCTTGAACTGAGACCTAAAACTATAGTATTTCAACTCGTTTTTTAAACTTTTAACAGGGTTTTTTAAAATAACCAAAAAATTTTTTAAAATTTTCACAGCGTTTTTTAAAATTTTTTGTAATCCTTAGAATGTCAGAAATAAATAGAAAAAACAACTTGATTTCGAATGAAAAAGGAAAAAGCCTCATAAAAAAAGTCATTGAAGATGGATACAGCGTCAAGGATGCGGCATTTCTTACAGATGTAAACTATCAGGCCGCTACAAATAGTATAAGGTTGTATAAAAAGGAATCGCGAGCTGAGAAGAAAAAAACAGGAAAACCATCAAATAAGAAGATATGCGGTGATATTATCAATTTTGTTGAAGAATTGATAGAATTAAACCCGTTAATAACGATGGTAGAAATTCGGGAAAAAATAGAAAACATATTTTCTATAGGCCTTTCTTTTGAATCTATAAGAAGGATAATTTATAGACTTCAGATTACTTTGAAAAAGATTTCTTGACGCTGTATCCATCTTCAATAACTTTTTTTATGAGGCTTTTTCTTTTTTCATTCGAAACCAAGTTGCTTTTTTTATTTATTTCTGACATTCTAAGGATTACAAAAAATTTTAAAAAACGCTGTGGTTATTTGAAAAAACGTTGTGAAAATTTTAAAAAATTTTTTGGTTATTTTAAAAAACCCTGTTAAAAGTTTAAAAAACGAGTTGAAATACTATATATTCTTTGCCATTTTTTCTCAGGTTTCGCTTACTCAAAATGTCTCATTCTGATTGGTTTATTTCATTTTCACTGAGAATCATTCGGGGTTATTAATACAGTTTCAGTTTATCGATTTTGTGGCTCTTAGTGGTTGTTTGAGCATTATTTGCAATTATTATTTGTGCCGTCCTCATATATTAATCCATCAACGAAGGTTCGGATAATCTGGCTGTGTGGTGCTGTGGTGCAAACTACTTATAAGTAGTATATAGCGTGAGTGTCAACGTAAAGTCTGGTAGCATAATATGGGGGGAAGATCAAGAAAGGAAGAGTCAGAAAACAATGGAATTTGTTTGAAACGCATAAAGAGTGACAATGGATTGATGTTTGGCAACAGGAACAGTCCAGTTCCATAGGATGAACTGATCCTTTGCAAATGAACGATTTACGCTATGGTTTTCCGATTTTACTGAGTAACTCTGTAATTTTCGTTAAATACAATTCGGTTGCCTCCACCTGTGTTCTCATTCACTACATTTGGTGTCGCTGCCTACGCAAAGGATGAAGATTCCATGGCCGAAGGAGTTTGAAGACGGGGATGTGCGGGGCTTCCTGAAGGAGTTTGAGGCCGTGGCGGAGCTGGTGGGGGTGAAGGAACCGAAGGCGAAGCTGGTGGTGCTGGGGACGCTGCTGAGAGGAAGGGCGAAGGCCGTATATGACGGCTTGGACGGTGCTGGCGGGAAGACGCCATGGGAGGCGGTCGTTGAGCGGCTGATGACCGAGTTCGACAGCCCGGTGGACAGGGAGGAGGCGTTGCGGAAGTTCCGGTTGGCGAGGCTGTCGGCTGATGGTGACCCGCTGGTGCTCGCTGTGGAACTCAAAAGGTTGCTGCGCCGTGCGTTGCCGAATATCGATGGGGAGTCGGAGGCACAATTGTTGGCGTCGCAATTTATTGAGGGTGTGCCTGCCGCTGTGTCCCAGCAGCTGAGATTAGTAAATGCAGCACAACCTATGGACATCGGTGAACTGGCGAAGGTGACTCGTCAGCTGATGACACGAACAGTAGCTCCGGTCGGGTGCGAAAAGCAGGAGATAAATACTTTCGAGAAGAAGATTGAGGAGTTAGAGCGTGAGATAGCAGCATTACGAGTAAATCATAAAAGGAACGATAAATGTTACGCTTGTGGAGAGGCAGGACATTGGAAGATAAACTGTCCAAGAAGACGACGACGACGATATTTTAAACATTATAACGTGTTTTCTTTCCACCCTAGGAATTGGGAGGTTCTTGCACTAGTAGATAGAGGGGCAATTTATGCCAGAGTGTACATAAATGAACAGGAGTTAGTGTGTTTGATTGATACAGGGGCAGCTATATCGTTAATAAGCAAACAGCAATGTAAGACAATTAAACCATGTACATTAGCTGTCCACACCATAGGAGGGCACATGCTAGAGGTGTTGGGGGTATCTAACAGTATTGTAAAAATGAGTGGAGCTGAGATAAATTTTCCGTTCGTGGTAACCACAAGCTTATCGAGACCGATATTAGGAGCAGATTTCCTAAGAGAGGTAAAAGCAATAATTGACTTGAGAAGCGGGAAAATGGTCACAAAGTACGGTTCATTGCCAATACATGAAAGTAGCGAAGTGGCTGAAATAAGGATGGCGACGGACGTCTCGACCAAGAAACCTAACGTTAACGAGTTATGCGCAAAGTATGCGAAACTGTTCACTGGAGATGGGGAGCCGTATGGATTTTGTGACAAAGTGAGGCATGAAATTCCTATAAAGAACGACCGAGTAAATATATTTACAACACGTCGTGTCCCAGTGCATTTAGAGGCCGAGGTAAATCGACAGGTCCAGGAAATGTTGAAGGAAGGTATAATTGAGGAAGCAGACAGCCCGTATAGCTCACCGGTACTCTTGGTAAAGAAACCCAATGGAAAGTATAGATTTTGCGTCGACTTTAGAGAACTGAATAATATAACAGACCTGAAACCGTGCGCAATGCCAACAGTAGTAGAAACATTAGATCGATTACAGAATGCCACGGTGTTTACAGTGCTGGATTTACGGTCAGGTTATTGGCAACTACCTATAAAAGATAGCGATCGCAAAAAGACAGCATTTACTATACGGGATAAACAGTATCAATTTAAGCGAATGCCGTTCGGGTTGGCTGGTGCACCGTTCACGTTCAGAAGATTGATGACGCTGCTGCTTAAGAATCTAGATAATGTTGAGGTATATGGCGACGATGTAGTTGTATACAGCCTGACGGAAACAGATCACGTCAAGCATGTGGAAGCGGTCTTAAAGCGAATTGACGAATTTGGGCTTCGAATTAATAAGGAAAAGTCGCAGATAGCGAAAAACAGCGTCATATTGTTGGGACATAAAGTGGGAAACGGAGAAATAAAGCCATTACCAGAGAAAATTCTTACCATAAAAAATATTGCAGTACCTAATTCGAAAAGGAAGTTGAGACAGTTCCTGGGAAGAGCGGCGTTCTATAGTCGGTTTGTCAAGAATTTCAACGAAATAGCAGCGCCCTTATATAAGTTGCTGAGCAAGACCAAGTTTACATGGACTGAGGCTGCCGAACAAACGTTCAACCGAATCAAAAACATGCTAGACGATCGTCAGATGACGCTGCGACTGCCTGAACCCGGTAAACTGTTTACAGTGGCCACAGATGCAAGTGATCATGGTATAGGTGCGGTATTGAGTCAGGCTGATAGAGTGGTGGAATACGCAAGTCGCGTTCTCACACCCGCCGAACAGAAGTATTCAACGATCGAGAAGGAATGCCTAGCAATCGTGTGGGCAGTAGAGAAATGGAGACCG